AAAATAAAATATAAAAAACTCTAAGAATTATATGTCCTTAGAATGGAAGGACTTAAAGCAACACTATAGCCACCTGAACAACTTTAGCTTAATTAATCAGTTTTTGTATATAGAACATGCCCCTGCAGCCTCACTGCCATTTAGGAGTTAAATCCCTTTGTTTATGAACCCTAGTCACACCTCCCTGCATGTGACTTGCACACACTTCCATAAACACTTCCTGTAAATAGAGCCCTATTTAGGCTTTCTTTATTGCAAGTTCTGTTTAATTAAGATTTTCTTATCCCCTGCTATTTTAATAGCTTGCTAGACCCTGCAAGAGCCTCCTGTATGTGATTTAAGTTCAATTTAGAGATTGAGATACAATTATTTAAGGTAAATTACATCTGTTTGAAAGTGAAACCAGTTTTTTTTTCATGCAGGCTCTGTCAATCATAGCCAGGTGAGGTGTGGCTAGGGCTGCATAAACAGAAACAAAGTGATTTAACTCCTAAATGACAGTGAATTGAGCAGTGAAATTGCAGGGGAATGATCTAAACACTAAAACTGCTTTATTTAGCTAAAGTAATTGTAGATTATGCTAACGTAGTGTACCTATAATCTTAATTTTAATAATGACAGGAGGCGAGTATTTTGCATGACTTTCTTTACTCATGCCTCCAGCAGCACAAGTCAATCAATAAACTTTTAACCAATCATAAAAGAGTACATAAACATATATAAGGCTCTGATTGTCACATGACTTCCTCTTTCTTTGAATTGCTATCAGTCCACGTAACGTCAGTAGCTAACTTAAGTTCTTAACGATATAGTGTTTCAAACTTGTTCTCTGGAAAGTCCAACTTCCATAAAATCCAACTCCAACAGGTTAACGCATAATGAACTGAAACTTGATCCGTAAGATCCATTATCCGGCTTGTCTTCTTCTGTGCCAGAAGCGGCAATCACACTGAAAGAAATAGAAACAAGTGTAAGAGGCTGGAAATAGACTGATGTCTATATAATATCATTGACACTATATCTATCCATATCTTATATCAAAAGAAATAAGCTAACTCCATATAACTAGCAGTCTAATCTACTATCGACAAATCCTTGTCTATTACCTCAAACATCCCATACATATCTTCTAGATAAACTATGCAGGTTACAATTAGAAGCAATACAAAATGTGACATATAAGAGAACCAGAGTATGGGAGGAGAGGGAGGGAAAATACTCGCCTCCTGTCATTATTAAAATTAAGATTATAGGTACACTACGTTAGCATAATCTACAATTTTATTACATGACAGGAGGCTTCCTATTTTGCATTTTTAAAGCTGAGGTAATAGCGAGAAAGCTGCGTGTGTGTTCTGACGAAAATAAAATAAACGAAAGGTATCCTCCCGTGTCCAGTCTGCGGAACGTAGAATATCTGCTAAAGACGCTCCCGCCGAGAACGCTCTTGAGGCGGCCGCGCCCCTAACCGAGTGAGCCCCAAAACACGTCTCCACTCCTGCTAGAGACAGGATCCAACGAACCCATCGAGCCAGAGTAGTAGTGGTAACTGGTTTGTAAGGTTTGGTGTAAGATACCAACAGTTGTCCTCTGCTAAAAGCTCGAATGCTTGCAGTAACCTCCACGTATCGCGTAAGTGCGGAAACTACACATAAACGAGGGACCGTAGGAAAAAATGGATAAGATATAGATGTTGAATTCGTCTTGGTTCTACGAGACACCGTGAAGGTAACCCCTTCCGGTGAGATCGAGAACCCATCCACATCGAACGCTCGCACGTCCGAAACCCTTCGAAAGGATACCAAACATAAAAGTAATGTCAGTTTGGCCGACAACTGCCATAGTGACAAATCTTTATTGTCTGGCCAATTCCGAAGGAAGTTAAGGACCACCTCTACGTCCCACATGTGACTATACTTAGGTTCCGGCGGTCTGGACAATTTGATGCCTCGCATTAGGCGACATACCAAAGGGTCCTGACCAACTGGAGAGCCACTTACTGTTACGTGTGCCGCTGAAATTGCGGAACGCGTCACATTGATGGAACGATAGGATTTTCCCTCCGTGAAGAGGTGTGACAAAAAATTTACCACCATGGTGTTAGGTGCTGTAAAGGGATCACAATTCCGTCCCAGACACCAACGTTTCCATGAATTCCACGCTGATAGGTAACTCCGTCGAGTGCCCGGTGCCCATGAATCCCATAGAAGGTCTTTAGCTGGTTGCGATAGTCCCTCGACGGACCAGGCTCCCCTGAAAGACTCCAGGCCACCAGCTCCAGACTCTCTTGTACCACTAGTGGATGTGGTTCCCCTTTCGGATCTGTCAGCAGAAAGGGAACCGATGGAAGAAGTAATGGGTGATCCCGCGTGAGAGCCAATAATTCCGGAAACCATGCTTGACTCTTCCACAACGGTGTGATGAGAATCAACGACACCTTGGTTGCTCTGATGCGATGGAGCACTCTTGCTATCATTGAAAATGGTGGGAATGCGTATGCTCCCCTCGGAGGCCACTGTTGTAGAAAGGCATCTACTGCCTCGCACTGAGGGTCCGGAAGCCAGCTGAAATACCTTGTTAACTGAGTGTTCGTCCGAGAGGCAAACAAATCCACGACCAACGGGCCCCTGAGGTCCCTCACCATTGCAAAAACTGAAGTATCCAGTCTCCAGTCGCTGCCGTCCCGCCAATGTCGAGAAAACCAATCCGCCGTGAGGTTGTTGGCTCCTGGTAAATATTCCGCTTTGATCGTGATGTTGCGGGGAATACAGAATTGATAGATGTCCTTCGTCGCCTCCGTCAGGATCCGTGATCGGGCTCCCCCTAGTCGATTTATGTATTGGACCGCGGAAACGTTGTCCATGCGTAGAAGAATGCAACAGTTCGTCATGTCCTTGGCTAGACTGCGAATCGCAAGCGATCCCGCAATCAGTTCCAGGCAGTTGATGTGGAGACTCTGTTCCTCTTGAGACCATGGACCTCCCGTGGATGCGTGGGTGCAGTGAGCTCCCCAGCCCCAAAGGCTCGCGTCCGACTCCAATACAAAGTCCGGGTTCGCCCCGAAAATGGCTCTGCCATTCCATGCTTCCATGTGCAGTAGCCACCACCGTAGTTCCGTCCGAGCCTCCGTGGAGACGGGGATCCAGTGATCGTATGTGTGTCCGGTTCGTAAATATTGGGCTTTCAGTCTCTGCATTGCCTGGTAGTGCAGCGGGCCTGGGAAAATCGCTTGTATTGATGAGGAGAGTAGTCCTACTATCCTCGCTAATAGTCGGAGTGGTATGGTGTCTCTCCTGAGTATCCGTCGGATCTCCTTCCGAATGGCCGCTATCTTGGATGCAGGGAGTCGTAGCACGCAAGAGTTGGAATCTATCTCGAACCCGAGGAACTGGACTACTCGTGATGGAACCAATGATGACTTCTCTCTGTTCACTATAAACCCCAATGATTCCAGAAAGTGAATGGTAAATCTCGTCTGAGATTGAATTCTGGATTTGGAGTCACCAAAGATCAACAAATCGTCCAGATACACGAGGCAGCGTATTCCTCTTCCTCTCAGATGGGCCATTACTGGTTTGAGGAGTTTCGTAAAACACCATGGAGCCGAACTGAGGCCGAATGGGAGACATGTGAATTGGCAAGGTCGACCCCTCCAGATGAAACGCAGGAAGATTCGGCTTTCTCGAGCCATGGGCACCGACAGGTAGGCGTCTTTTAGGTCCAAGCGTGTGAACCAGTCGCGTTCGTTCAGCAGATCCCTCAGAAGATGAATACCTTCCATTTTGAAATGGCGGTAAGCCACAAATCCGTTCAGTTCTCGTAAGTTGATGACTAGGTGGTAGTCTCCCGTCTTTTTCTTGACCACGAACATGTTGCTGAAGTAACCCTGGTCGTCTGGGGCAAGTTCCACCGCTCCCTTGACGAACAGGGTTCGTATCTCCGTGTCTATGAGGCGTCTCTGATTCTCTGACGCCCGGATAGGTGATGGTCGCCTGATCTGAACTGGCATACGGGCAAATTCTATCACGTACCCTCGCACGGTCTGTAGGATCCATGCGTCTGCGGATATTCGTTCCCATTCCTGCGGAAAAAGGGACAATCTACCAGCAGTTATAGTTGAAGGACATAACGGAGGATAATTCATGCTCACCTGAGTTGTAACGTCCCCTTCCTCTGTTCCGAGTGCCCCTTGTACGCAAGGATCCCCTTGTGAAGTTGGCTCTTGCAGATGGGAAGAACTGTTGTGTAGCGTATGGGCGACTGGGGCCGGATGGCCAGAAACGGCTGGTGGCCCGACCCCTCTGCCGACCAGCCCTGCCAAAAACACCTCGAGTTGTCTGTGGGTTCCGAAAGACTTGTCTAATAGATGATTGTGCCTTATTCAGTGTAGTGAACAGGCCTACGTGCTTCTTCAGTTCTGCCATGAATGGTTCTCCAAAGAGCAGTCCCTCCGCCAGGGGGCCTAACTCTTTCTTCCCCAGGTCCAACAGTTTGGAATCTATCTTCAATAAAGCCGCTTTACGGCGTTCTGCGCACATGGCGGCATTGGAGTTCCCTAGTAGGCAGATCGCTCGTTGTGCCCATTCTCTAATGTCGTGTGCCTCGAGGGCCGTCCCCTGGGTGAGGGCCACATCTGCGAGGTATAGGATCCTCGCTAAAGGACCTAGCATGTCTAGCATTTTGTCCTGGACCGCTTTCATGCCCTTCTCGACACCTTTCCGTGGGTCTCTGCCCGAGCGGGACATAAACACCCCCACTGTGGCATCGAACTCTGGGGTGAGGGCTATCTTGTCCGGGAGGACGGGGCGTGGGCACTCTGCTTTGAGCTTGGCCCGCACCTCCTTGTCCATTGGCTTCCTCAGCCAAAAATGTACAAAGTGAGTCAGATGGTCCGGCAGGTTCCATTCTGACGATCTGGGGTGGCGTATCTGGCGTGGATCAAACAAGGGGTTGCCAGCCCCATCCAGAAACACCCCATCTTCAAATGCCTCCGTACGCACTTTACGTGTGCCTTTGCCGCCTGAGCGGTGTGCCCGTTCGGGGCCATGGTCGCAGTCTCCGACCTCTTGAGGCAGTCCTCCTCCTCCGAGGGGGAATCCTCTGCCCTCCATTCGTCCATGACTTCTAATGAAGGCGGAGATAGCGGCTCCTCATCCCCTGAGAAAAGGGGCTGTGGAGGGGAACGATCCGGGCGCCTAGACTGGCGGCTCCGCTTTCGCAACACCTTCCCCTCCCATCTCTGTAGGGTCGTGTTGGATCCTCTCCATTGCCGTTTGCACGGTCCAGCCTCCGCCTTGGACTCGGTGTGCTCTGTATCCTCTTTTCTTGTCGGAGGCGTGGCCTCTGCCCCCTCCGCCTGTGGTTGCGCCATCATTTTGGCTAACGCCTTTTCCACCGAAGCCGACACTGCGGCATTGATCATGGCCTGGAAATCCATGGGCGATGATGGAGGAGCGTCTGACATGGTGGCAGTTTGATCTTCCCGTCTGTGGGTAGATATGGTATACGTCAGTGCGTATGTAGCTACACAGTGGCTTCCATTACAACATTTTTATTTTTATTTTATTTTTTTTAGAATTATATGTATCCTGTTCTTCAGTGTATGCCCTGAGTCAGCCACCAGTGTCCTCAGTGAGATCTAGGCATTAAGAATAACAGCCTGAGCAGTCCATGGGTGCAAGCAGGTAAGTATTCCTTTAAGCATTATTCCATTTATGTGCCTGCATTAACTCCTGTATCCAGGGAGTAAGGGGTTAACTAACACTTCAGTGTTAGCCAGTATCAAGGGCAGTACATAACCATACACATTAGACAATTACACATAAGTACAGATTTTATGCCAGTTCGTGGGAATCACGAACTGGCAAGCTAAGATGGCCGCCGAGGATCTCGCGAGATCGCGAGATCCAAGATGGCCGCCGTTCCCGCGCAAATTTGCCGCGCGGTTCGCGATCGCGGCCCGCGACCGCGATCATACAAACCTGGCCGGCACCCCCCTGTGTCCCCCAGTTACCCCCCCAGCCCCTGGAGCCCCTGGTCAGACCCCCCGGTCTCGCGCGATCGCGGTAAAATGCCGCGAATCGCGAGGGACCAACACAGACCAGAGGCAAAGTACAGTGCAGCCCCAGAGACAGGGAAACCCCACACAAGAAATACTAACAAGCTGAGGGAGCAGGCATAACTAAGTGCATGTAAAAGGGGAACATACAGTAGGGAGTAAGCCAGCATCAATTAAAGAGACAGTAAGAATTGTACATATAATAGACAAATAGTGAGAGCAGAATACTCTGACCTGTGCCTTGGCTGGAAGCAGCAAAGAAAGAGGAAGTCATGTGACAATCAGAGCCTTATATATGTTTATGTACTCTTTTATGATTGGTTAAAAGTTTATTGATTGACTTGTGCTGCTGGAGGCATGAGTAAAGAAAGTCATGCAAAATAGGAAGCCTCCTGTCATGTAATAAAATTTAGGTGACTATAGTGTTCCTTTAACGTAAATAAAAAATGGTCAGGAAGATGATGAGGTAGGGATACAGAATGAGACAGAAATGAGGAGACAAGCCAATAGATCAAGGATACCAGAAATAAGCATAGTAAAGAACATGATGAAATCAAAATACCAATTAGAATCACAAGATAAACTCACTCTTCAATAAATAAAAATGGAAACCATGACAGGGCACTGAAAAAAAGTTTTTTTGAGTTTAACTAACCCTATGAAGATATTATTGGTCAGAACTGACCTTGTGATCCCAAAATGCATGCACAACGATAATGCAATGACGTATGTCATTTTCGGGTGTGGCAATATAAAGCCCCATGGAAGCCCCAGTGGCTAGCGACCTTCTGAATGACATTTCGTCAGGGAGCTGCTTTGAGAGCAGACTGGATGGTGAGCTGCCATGGATTAGGTAAGTTGCTATTCTTCTCTCTAGTATGGTTGTATTGATCGAGGGCTGTCTCGTGATCGCATCGCGCCTCCCTTGTACAATTACATGAACTAAACAGAAATTTTGAAGTTACAAACTTTCAGAAAAACCTACTATATAATTAAATATATAAAATAAAATAAAAAACAGAAGGGGGATCCCTTAATTTTCAAACAATTTTATTTGTGTTTGTAGTAAAACTGGTAAACCACTAGAGAGTAGTAGAGAGCTGCATACAATTCATTACTAGACATCTGATCCAATGTAGGAACAATAAATATATAGTTTAATTTTTGTTTTTTCTTAGTCTTGCATATGTCTAAACAGAATAGAAAATACAGCAACACAAACGTAATTAGGCTTTGAACGTCTGTGTAACATTTACACGGGTTCAATGTCTAATACAGCTTGCAAAGTATATAGCACTTGATGACATTGAACAAGCAGGAGAATGGTATTAAAACAAAGGAAAGAACGAACAAACATACAATAGGGTGAGTTAGGAATTTTTTATTTTTGCATTATATGTTCTGTTTGCTATGTCAAGCAAAGCCTCAATAATATCTATTTCAAAATGTATTCCCATATAGAGAATAGATGTGGTCAGTTTTACACTATGTGCATAGATACTGCATACAAACGTGTACATTTGGTTATACTATAAAGAATTTATTCAGGTGTTGTGGTTGAAATTATAATATTTTCAGCATCAGCAACTTATATTAAAGGAACACAATAGCGTCAGGAACACAAACATGTATTCCTGACCCATTAGTGTTAAAACCACCATCTAGCCCCCTCTTATCCCCTCTTACCCCCTTAAATATAGTATAATATAGTAAATCTTACTTGTATTCAAATCTGCAGTTGCTGCCTCTGCCATAGAACTGTCTGCTGACACCATCAGAAGTGGGGGGCCTGAGCCAATCACAATGCTTCCTCATTGGATTGGCTGAGACTGTCAAGGGGGCAGAGCCAGCACAAGTTAAACACAACCCTCGCCAATCGGCATCTCCTCATATAGATTAATTGAATCAATGCATTCAAACCAATGCAAAGTTTAGTGTCTGCATGCAGAGGGTGGAGACACTGAATGGCAATGCAGCACACTAGGCAGAACTGCCCCAGGAAGCACCTCTAGCAGCCATCTGAGGAGTGGCCAGTTGAGTTATCACTAGGCTGTAATGTAAACACTGCATTTTCTCTGAAAAGACAGTGTTTACTGCAAAAAGCCTGAAGGGAATGACTATACACTATAGTGTCCCTTTAAATCTAATCTGCACCTGTTTTATTATTTGGAACTGGTGACCTCTACATTAAACTTGATTTTTAAAGTTATTTAATATTCACACAAAACATCCCATATGGCTGAAGGCTCTATGTCAGCTGGAAATACAGATGTTTTCAACTGTGAGGCTGCTTTCCACAACATAAACTCTAAATCCTATGGAAATCCAGGCTTAACATTTGTCTTTATTTCTGAATAGTATATATATTTCTGCATAGTATATATATTTAAAACAATAAAATAATTACTATTTTCAACTAAGAAAGCTATAGTAAGCTTAAGCTGAAAAAAAAAGTTAACATTGGTCAGGTTTCACTACAGAGGTGGCCATCTTGAAACTGCATCACAATTTTCAAACCGTCAATCAGAAATGAAGACAAGACTATACAACATGTCATAGCAGCCATGCAGCGTCTGTGGTTTGTAAAGTATCTCCTGGCTTCCCGCTGTGCAGGAAATGGCTGTTTGAACATTCTGATGATCTGTGCCCAATATTAACTGGAAATATTTAGATTTATATAAGAAACCCAAACTGAAGAACAGATTAAAAATTGGTCAGCACAAGGTACTGCTGGCTTTAAAATGACATAGTTTTGTTGTTTCTTTATGTGTAGATAGTCTAACATGAAATAATATTTTTGCAGGTCACTGAGAAATATAATCAGGAATCATTAGCGACTTATATCTGGGGTTAGCCAAGGGTTAATGGCACCTGGTTGTAGAACAAAATACAGAGGCTCTTGTTACGGTTTTCTTCCTTCACTGTTAAATATTACCGAAGATAGTATGTAAAAATTAAAATAGAAAATATTTTTTTTTTTAAAAAGCAACTAATAGTGACATCACCACTGCTAATTTTGATCGCGAATTTCTATTTAGTTTTAGTCATATATAGTGGTATTTTAGGCATCTAAATTGTTTGCTTTAGTTGACACAACTAAAATCTAATGGGTTTAGTTAACGCCTCTCTCTTTTTTTCCTTCTGTGGCTCTTTTTCCCCCTCACAGTCTCTGTGTGTCTCTCTCCACCTCCCAATTTGTGTCTTCCCTCAGCACCTTGTCTCTTTCTCCCCAAACCCCTCTGTCGCTTTGTGTGTTCCCCAGCTACTACATGCATCTCATTTCCCCGAGCTCCTCATTCATCATTGCCCCCCTAAACTCCTTCATGTGCTCATTCTTCCCCCAGTCTCTCTATGTGTCTCATTCTCCCAGCCACCCCATGTGTCTCATTCTCCCAGCCCCCTCGTGTTTCTCTTTCTCCCAGCCCTCTCATGTGTCTCATTCCCCCAGTTCTTCTATGTGTTTCATTCTCCAGGCCCCTCATATGTCTTAATTCCTCCCTCCAGCCTCTCCACCTGTCTTTTAATTTTGGCTGCAAATGTAAATTTAGTTTTAGTCATTTTTTAGTCATCTGAATTGTTCTATTCAATTAAATCTCCACAATTTTAGTTGACTAAACCTGACGAAAATTGTTAGTCGACGAAATTAACACTGAACATCACAACAGGTTATATAAGGACCAACTAGCATTCTACACTCTTTTTTTATTTTCTTTTATGGATGCAAGAGAAATTGGCAAAGCAGAAAAGGAAAGAAAGGTGGAGTGGGAAAAAGACCTGTCAAGCGATAACCATTCAAGGTACAAATTCTAGCCAGTAAGTCTATACCAGATCAAGAGTGGTGTAGCACAGTGAGTTTGTCCATCTGCATAGTGTATTTAATTTTTAAGATTACAGGGGATGAGGAGCTACGTATAAGTATCGGCGTCGGCACAGGTTTTTTCAACGTGTCCTTTAAAAATTGTTCTCGCGCAGCGTGCTATGTCTATTCCATAATCTGACTGCTTCTTAGGCAGAGTCTTTCATGCTACGCAGGTAATGTCAGCGCCGCACATGGACAGTGGCAGGTTAACAGTAGTCTACAGCATCGCTATCAAGGGCTTTCTGCTAGCGAGCTGCTTCCACTGCTCTACTTTATGACCAACAGCAAGCCAGCTAAAATTTGCACCCAGTCAGAGCCAGCCAAGATACAATACAATAACTGCCTATTTGTCATTTTTCCTTTTCATCATTCAAGAACTCACAGCATCATTTTGCTACCATCTCTAGAGATTGAATGCATGCAGGTGAAGAACTAGAGTGTATGTAGTTCATAA